TGCATTGAACCCAATGTTGAGACCATAACCAGTCGTAAACCAATCGGTCGGTCATTAGTTCCAGTGGTGGCCAACAAACGGACAAACTTTAAAATTCCGCCCGAAATGGTTGTATTGGATGCGATAACTGAAGTGAAGACTATCGCCGGTAATGAGCGCTCAATTGATGCCTATTTTAGGTCTCATTTGCGGGAATTGAAGGCCACGGCTCGACCCGATCGGGTCCTCGTATATCAGAAGTTATTGGACGCAAACATTGAGATAATGACCAATGAATTGAACGATTTGATGGATAAACGCAAAGAACTGGAAGAATATCTCATTAATAAGTAACACACACTAAGGAGATCCAATTGGTACCCAACTTCTGCACATATAAACCATTATAATTTTATGAAACAAAGTATCTATTATTCATAAATATGTATAAATATCTTTCATTTGATCCAATTTTTAATCTATAATTTTTATGATAACTTTTTAAATGATTTTTATTTTCCTTTATTTTTAATGCTTTTATTTTATATAAAAATTACTAAATTCTTATCATGTCTTGTATTTTGTATAAAAAGTCAATAAAATCAGTGTCTGTTTGTGTGCATAATTATTTAATTAAGGGCAAATTCTACGTGATAAATGCAATTATAATCTATATTACATGATATATGAACAGGGATAATTATTAATTAATGATGCTAACAAGTTTTAAATGTATCATAATTTCTATGCTCGCACACAAACAACTGGAAAGTTATAGTACTTTACAGTGCAGTACTTATGGCCGGTATATAGCGATCGCTGCCCCTCTGCCCCCAACCCGTCACTAATAGTCGACCCCTACTCTAGTGTTGACTCAATTAATTGATTGCCAATCACTTGATGTGATGCAGTGTTCGGCGAACAGCTCTACTCATTGATTGTGTGTTTGCGTCGAATATCTGGAGTTCTCGTGAATTGCGGCCAAAAGCACAACACAATCACCACTTCCTCCGCATCTTTGGATCAAACCATGAAAACAGGCATTTGTCGCGCCGTTGTCTTAGAGACGGCGTCACTCAACGGACGCCAATTGTCACTCATTGGTCACACTTTGGCCGAAGTGTTGGCTCTGATGGCCAACGGATTGGCCGCCACACGACGCCCGATGTCTCACATGATATTGGATGCGATCGACGGCTCCAACACTGTGTCCATCATTCCTCTGGTGGACATCACGTCCGACCACTTCTGGCGCAACCATTTCGGCAAACTGTCGACACTCGGCCTCAACGGCCGCACAGGTGTGTCGTGGAGAGCGTCGGCCACCGCCGCCATCGATGTCTGCGACGGCATTGGACTCGCCGTAAGACAAATACAAGTGTCGGCCCGAAAGGGATCCGATTCGGGCGTCAAACACGTGGAGTTGACGTACGTTTGCGGTCGACATAAGGATCAAGTGATGCGAGACTTCTGCCGACTGTTTGTCGCGAAACAAATGGATTTATCATTTCTAACAGTGGTTTGCATTCAATGTCTTGTATTGTTGTCACAAATATTACCAGATTTTTAATTCAAAGCTCAATATCCTGTGCATCGCATCCAATGGTGAGACCAATGGTTTCCAGCCCTTAGTGTGCGGGCCGTCCGGCGCTGTCCTCAATCACCGCTCGGATCTGGAAATACCGGAGAAGTTGTTAGCGTTGACTGAACTGCAGACCATCGATGGCAGCGGTATATCAATCGACGGCTATTTCAAGGTTTGGTTACTCGAAGTGAGAGCCACTTCGGAAAAGGTTCGCATTTATCTCAACTCGGGATCTAATGAAGAGTTTGTCGTTAAATGCGATCTCAGAGAAGGGATTCTTGATTTGAATCGTATGTCTGTTAACCCAATGAATGGCAATCAGAGGGAATCGTTGCCATTGATTCCCAACGTCTTCGATATGAATCGTTGCGATCTATTTATCGCCGGTTTAATCAAATACTCGGGTCTTTGCGATTCAGTCACTTATGGCATACCATATGTCTTGAGCGCCAACTGTTCGACAGACCTGTCCATCGAAGAGGTGGCCGACAATTGGAACCGATTTCACGGTTTAATCGAAGTCATGAATGAGAAGAAGGCATTCATTGTATTGGAGATGAAACACAAGTCGTGTCCGAAAGTGTTCTTCGCGTTGATGTCAACGATGGACACAAAGACATTGCTCTTGAAATCGATTGCCGCCAAAGAACTACTTTTGCCATATTTTCACGACTCTCTCACCGATATGTTCTCAAGAAAGCCCTCCAAAGCCGCCGTCCAATCGGTGGCCAAACAGTTGAATCGCTTCGAAGTCAATGACATTTACAATCCATTGTACGCTAAGAATAACTTATTTCAATTCCTTCAGCCAATTGTCAACACTTCCAGCAATGGATTCTCCCATTAATTATCATTCAATTCATTTGGATTTCAATGTATTTTAAATGTATTTTAAACAATGTATTTAATTATTTCTTAATTCATAAACCCATTCAAAATATCAATTAATAAAAACTACAACTCATTTACAAAATTGAAAAACATTATAAAAAACGATTTAATGAAAGGGTTGGCCATTGGATGACCGTTCAGAAGACAATGACATGTCTTGCGGTGAGTTTGGCGACCCGTTTGCCGGTGCGCTCGTCGACCGTCTTCTGGAAGACGTTGACCACCACTCGATGGTTGCGTTGAGCCGATTGGCGACACCTGACCGACAACTCGACGACTGTCGGCCGCCCTCT